AAATGGGGATCACTTGTAACAACCTTAAATTCTATAAATAATAAATTAGGAAGCTCTAGCATGCCCCTGGAAATTCTACCAAGTTTTCTGCAAACACAAAATGGACATATGTATTTGAGAGACTCCTGTGCTTAAAATATCCTACATTGAAAACATCACATTTATTTCAGGGTCTGCTTTTCGAGGATGCCTCCCCAACTCTGAACTAGAGTTTAAATTCTTTTCAATCAGATGGAAATTTCTAGGCTCCAAAGCCAGTAAGCAGTTGTAGGTTTCCTCTCACCACTACTCCCTTTCAAATACAGCATCTGGATAGGACCCCCTCTGCCTTCAGTCTTTTACTACCTCCCACATCATGAAGCGCTCTGGGCCCCAGCTGGTGAGTCTCACTCAGTGATAGGAAGCAGTGGGGGGCAGGAAGAACAGAGAAGCCACTGCCTTTTTTATTCTTTTCCTGAGATAAGAGGATGGGCTTAGGATAAAATGTGATTATCATCTCCCATTTGATGAGATACAAAACAACTCCAAACAAGGGTGAACTTTCCAATTTTCAATGAGGTGAACTCTCATTACAACTTCCTTTTCTTTTATTTGGACTAAAAAGCAAAACCATTTCTTCGTAAGGTGCATAGCAAAGACACGGCAAAGAGCCTACCGGAGGGTCCTCAAGCAGGGTTTGTATTTGTTTATGCAGATTCCCAGCCCTCCCCAGACCCTCTACTTTTCTCATAAGCATGTGTGCCCATCCGTGACCTACCATGCATAAGATGTATTTTTCTTGTTTATTGTCTGTCTCTCCCACTAGAATGGAAGCAAGTACAAGGATTTTGTCTGTTTTGCTCACTGTTGTAGCCCAACAGTGCCTGATAGACAGCTGCTGTCTTTTCAGAGTATACTAAAATTAGATAGACTTAGGGCAAGTGATTGATTTGGGCGATAGAAAGAAATGAGATGAATAACACAAGGAAGGATGAAACGCCAATTAAAGAGAAGTTATCAAGGTTACCGATGCAGGAAAAGAACCTTTGAAAAGATTCCAGAAGCTTCCAAATGGTCCATCCCCGCTGGTGGAAGGTTGCCCTTTGGGGAGTAACTACCCTTACTTCCAGGCTGAACCTCTGTAGGGCTGAGCTCTGAGGGATAGAAGTAGGGAGGGGTGGTTTAGAAGCTTGAGGTGGAAATGCTGTCCGAGTGCTGAAAACTGCCCCACCCAGCTGGAGCCAGAGCTTGTGAAGGGCACCAAATGCACCTGCTTCAGGAGGCATCAGGCAAATACCTTTTTAGCAACTGGATGGATTCTCTTTAATGCAGATATGCATTATAGGAAAAGTGCAGGCTTCAGGCTCAACTTGCTTAGAAACAATGGTCAGAATTATTAGTACCCTCTGACCTACTGAGAAGAAAAAATTACTATGGCCAAGGAGTTCAGACCCCTTTTGACTTTTTATTTTCCTAACAGATCTTCTATAACAAATTCCTGCTCAGAATTCCCATTTCTGGAGGGGAAGTGGAGGCTACAACTTTATTATAAATGAAAAAGCCCACCACACAAGCCCCCCTTCCAGCTTCTGATAGCCCTTGCCACCTCTGGCTTCTGCTTGTAGTATTTTTACTCTGGCCTCTTGGCCTCTCCTCTGGTTCTGGAGCTCTCTTTCCTCTACCCACTCCTCCATGCTGTCACCCTCAGGGGTCTGTCTAGAGGCACCCTCCCCATGCCACCTACCTTTCTTCTTTTCTTTTTTTTTTTTTTAGGTTGCACTGATTGCATTTGTTAGGTAAATTCCCTCTTATAAGTATGTCATACACTGTGATCCCCCAACCCCTTCACTCCTCCCTTCTCCCTGCTCCCTCATTTCCCCACCCCCCACCCCACCATGTATAAGGTCATCTATTGTCCTCATATTAGAATCGAGTACATTGGATTCTTGCTCCACCTGCCTTTCTTGACTCACTAAAACGCCCAGGCTGGCAACCACCACCCTCATGTGAAACTCTGGGCCCACATTTCCAGTGTGTCTCTGTGCTGAGCTCAGGACCTAGGTTCCCTGTTTCCTCTTGGACTGTCCATGCACAAATGGTAAGCTCAATCCCATACTGGACTCATTACCCACCCCACCTCCACACCAAACCTGCTTTTCCTCCTGAATTCTCTGTCTCAGGTGATACTTCACTACCCATCCTTGTCTTCCAACTTGGAAACTTATGGTCAGGCTCAGTCACCAGATCTGGTTGCCTCCACTGGTTTCTTGAACCACCCTGTTCCCAGGGTGGCTGGAATCTTTTCTGTAATTTTATTTAAATACTGAATGTTCTCTGAACACTTATAGCTTACATAATGTTTATTATGTTTCCAAAGAATTAATAGGTTCCATAATGGTTCGTATAAATCTCTCTTAATTCCTCATGGCCCTCCCCTTCCAGTCTCTCTGCACTTGGGACACCTTCGGCATCACCACCTTTAGAAAGGTTTTCTTTCTAAAACCCTAACCCCATTTCCTAGCTCCCCTCATCAAAACCTTTCTCTAAGATTATCTTCCACCACTTCCACCCTGCAGTTGCCAAATATATCACAGTACCTGGAGGTGTTTGTTTATGTGTTTCTTCAGCTCCCACTTTACATCGTCAGCTCCTGTAAAGGCCATATCTCCTTGGCCTGACACAAAGTAAGTGTTCAGTAAATATTAATTAAGTGGACAGAGCGAAGGGCATTCGATAGGGTAGGAAAGCTCTATACAAGTGTGTTCTCAGAGTTCACAAAGTGTGGTCAGACCAGAAGCTTCAGCCTGGCCAGGGAATTTAATGCAGATTCTTGGGCTTCCCCTCAGATCTACTGAGTCAAAGCTCTGTGTGTGTTTGAACAAGCCCTTTAGGTGATTCTGCTCTATAACAAGTTTATGTTTCCTGAAATGTCTTGCAGTGGTCAAAATAAAACTAGTTTCTCCAATTACACAAACCTTAGCAGCCTTGTGGGGAAATCACTGGAAAGCATTTAATCAGCTGCTGTGCTTTCAAAATGTTGCCTGAAGGTTACAGAAATAACACAGCTGCCTCTAGGAATCAGAAAGGGAGACAGCAACCAGAGGCATCTCCTGGCCAAACTCCACACCTGCTACCAGTCGATCCCCACACAGTGAACCCACCTCCATGCCTGGAGTTCCATAGGTGAGTCCAGATGCTTCCAAATCTTTCTCCTTGCATCTGAGACAGATGATGGAAGGAAAAGGAGAGGAATTGAGGGCCTGCAGTTTGGGGATGGCTGGTGGTCCCCAGGTCCCAGGATGGAGACCGTAGTGGTGAGCCAGAGAGCCTGTGTGGCGCCTGGGCAAGTCCTGCTCTTCCTGGAGCCTTGGTTTGCCATCTGTGAAATGGGGTTGGCAGTGGCTTTGCAGGGACTCATGAGCTCAAGCACCAGCCAGTGGACTCCAACCCAAAGAGCTTCAGAGTCTAAACCGGTGGTTCTCAACCTTCCTAATGCCGTGACCCTTTAATACAGTTCCTCATGTTGTGGTGACCCCCAACCATAAAATTATTTTTGTTGCTAGTTCATAACTGTAATTTTGCTACTGTTATGAATTGTAATGTAAATATCTGATATGCAGGATGTGTTTTCATTGTTACAAAGGGGTCGTGACCCACAGGTTGAGAACGCTGGTCTAGATTGAAAGCACATATAGTGAGAATAAGATGGAGTCGGGCAGGCAAGGGCAGCCATGACACAGCTGGTCTGGTCAGTTTAGGTCCTGCCTGACCTTTACCCCTATTCTTACTGTTGTTTATAAATTTAGCTCCCACCCTAAAGATGCCGATCTCAAGTAGTTTAAGTGGATTGATTTAGGACATTAACTTTTAAAGTAGAATGTTGTTTATTGTTTATGAGTCATGGGGTCTGCCAATCATTGTTTAAGATAAGGGTTAACATGGTCTTCGCTTTGAACTTTAATGTATAGAACTGTAATGTTGGAAATGGAAGAACAGAACAGTCTTGGGGAGGCTACTCCCACTGTTCTACAACCCGGCCTTCTGACAAGTGAAGTTTGGAGGACCTATCCCCCTCTCTGCATATTGGCTGACAGTGACAGGCAGCCGGACCCTCTTCTTCCGGTAATGACGACCACCGCTCACTGAGTGGCCCCTAGTGGCCCCGGGTTGCCCAGCTGCGCAGCCAGGAGAGCAACAGCGCAGGGAAGGGCCCACAACGGTCTGGGTACCTCCTGTCCCTCTTCCAGGTGGGTGAGTGACAAGGGGTCAGGTCCTGATCCCCAGGCAGAGCAGCCTGAGTTCTGGCCAGAACTGAGCCCCGGGACAAGAAAGCGTGGGAGGGGTGAGTGCCAGAACTTGGGGTGGCAGTGGGGAGCCAGGTCCCTAAGACACTCTATTGCCCAGCTGGCACCGCGGGTAGGGGATATCTCAGTTGGGAAAGAAAACACAGCCCTTTGCCAAACTAGACGCCTCTGAGCAAAGCTAGACTGTGTCATCTTCATCTTACAGCTGCTTAAAGAGAGGCCCAGGACGTCGACTGCCAACTGTGGCCAGAGCTCTTTCGCTGGCCCTGGGGACAGGTGCATCGATATCTTGAGGAACTTTAAGGGCTATTAATGGGGCTAAGAAAAGGACTCTGACTTCCTCCTCCCTCCCGCAAGGGAACCCACACAGGTTGAAAGGCCAGAGCCTCGGGCTCTCTGAGAGGGGAGTCCTACTCCTTCTACCCAGAGTACTCCCAACTCCTTCTACCCAGAGTTATGCCTTGCTACCCGTCGGCCCTGCCTAGTGTCCCCCCAGTTTCCCTTCTGGCTTCAAAACAACTGAACACCCGCAGCTTCTCCATCCGGGAGGAAACCCCCAGACTCCTACGTTTCCCAACCTGGAGAGCATAGCTCCGGAATGGGCAGGGGGTAGGCAGTGGGACAGGGTTGGGTGAGGAAGCTCCTTGGACAGGAAGGGGTCGGATACCGGGCACCTCGCCCAACCCTCTCCCACCCGGCTATTTCCCCCTCCCCCAGGAGCCACTTTAATCGGTTGACGCCCCAGGAGCCGCCCTCTGAGCACGTTTTGCTGCGGGTCTGCGTCAGCGCTGGGTAAATAGACGAGTGGCCGGCAGCGCCGGGCGGGGCTATTTAAGAGGCAGCCGCCGGCTGGCGGATCCTGAACTTGGCTCCGCGGCGGGGCTGCTTCGGTGGAAACCCTCAGCTGGCTGCGTCCTAATCCAGAAGGTAGGTCCTTCCGCTCGCCGGGGAGGGATTTAACTGTGTTGTGTCTTTGAAGAACGGGGTCTTCAGGTTTGTACCTCTTTCCTTTTTTTTGTTTCCTGTGTCCTCCCTCCAACAGCTGTAAAGACATTTCTTAAAGTCAGAAATACGGTCTGTGGATCTCAAAGTGAGGGCTGGGTGGGTTGAGCTGCTTTAGGGACTTTCCCACCATAAGGGCGCGTGAAACATACAAGAGCTGAATACCCCTTTGCTGGGATTCCCGTGCAAATTGGGACTTGCTAGTTATGACCCTGACGCGGCGCACTTTGCCATCTTTTCACATAAAATACCAAGAGGTTTTAGGATGTACATTTTCTAAACACTGGAGAAAATTTCAAAGCTTTGGGGAGGGATGGAAACGTGCGAGGGTTTAATTTGCTCCAGATCCGAAATTCGGCGGGGCTTTGCTAACGACTGAAGGCTGCACGATATTCCTCATTTTTATAACCTTGCCTGTGTTTTCGCTAAGTGGTTTATTACCATTTCCCATGTGCGCCTTGAGAAAAGTTTGTAAATACGGCTTTTATTGCCCCTACATTTTAACTATGCGTCTGTTGTTTCACCATTTACTGAATTTCCATACTGAAAGCTTCTTAGGTGTCTGGAAAGGGGGCTTCTTTCTTCAAGGGTCTCATTTCTCCCACGGACTCTTCCTTTGAGGGTATTTTTCTCTAATCTCGTGCTTTTCCAGTTAGAAGAGCGGCACTCCACATTTCCTCAAACTTTAGTAAAACAGGAGACATTCCTTCTGCTAAACACTGCAGAAAACAAGGTTTCTCTCCGACCCTGAGCAATGGGTGTGGATTACCCCCAAAGACTAGCCAGGTGCACCTGGATGCGCACGTGGCCCTGGGCGAGGGTCTGCGCTTGGTGAGTCCTGTGCCTGCGCCTGCCGGGCAGGGCTGGAGCGCCAGCGTTCCGTCTGAGCAGGAGGGTGCTGGACCCCGGCAAGAGGCCTGGCCGGCCCAGCCTTTCCGTTAACGCCCCCTCTTCCTCTGCTCTCCGCAGCAATGAACAGAGGCGTGTGCCTGTGCGTGCTGATGGCGGTGCTGGCTGCGGGCACCCTAACGCAGCCCGTGTCCCCGGCAGATCCTGCTGGCTCCGGGGTGCCACGGCCAGAAGAGGCTCCCCGGAGGCAGCTGAGGGCGGTGCAGAGGACGGATGGCGAGTCCCGAGCGCAGCTGGGCGCGCTGCTGGCCAGATACATCCAGCAGGCCCGGAAAGGTAAGGACGCTGCGGTCCCATCCCTGAATTCTGCCCCTGCTCTGGACTCCCAGTCCCGACCCTCTTCTCTCGGCCCGCCTGTTGGAAGTAACCCCTGGGTAGGAAACACAGGTGACGCATTAAACTGACAGGTTTTTCACTTTACTTTCCTGAGTCACACTGCACGGGACTGTCCTGTTTTCTGGACGTCCTCTGTAGCTAACAGAGGGTGTGTGGAGGACTTATTAGTAAGGGGAACAACCTTCTTAAAAAGATTTCTTTGAACAGATTTTTAGCAGTGTTGCTGTTTAAGTTCAGCATCATTATAGGAAGACATTAAAAGATTATTACTGAACCCTGGACGAGGGTTTCCAGATATACTAACCCCCTCTACTGTAAAAGCAAAGGAGGTGGCAGCCACACAGACTGCAGTCAGGTTTTGGACTGGGAGCAGTTTTCTTTACCAACTATAGTGACATCTATGATGAACACTGGCTGTGAGGCAGGGTGCTAAGCTGGACAGACAAACAGCAACATTCAACAAACAGGCTGGAAGCAGTGTGGGAGGTGGGTCCCCTTTTCCATGAGGCTCTCTTACCCAACTGGAGTGCCAGGACCTGAATTTGAACCTTAGCCTGTGGCCTGACTGGAGAGAGAGATAACAGAAGACTCTATTCTCCAAGGTCTCTCATGGGTTCATGTGAAGGTGAGACTGGATTTCCTTGACTAGGGGATTCAGAAGGAAGGAACAGAGAGGGTGATTTGTTATATTTCTTCCTCTCTTAGGGAGACTGCCCCAGTGACCACATTCTGTTTTGTTTTTCTACTAATTCAACTGAAAGAAAATAGAAACACTAGTCAGATGACAGAGAAAGTCTGAAAGCTTTCAGGTTTGTGTTGATTCTCTGTCTGAAAGTAATTCGGTATCTGTCCTCAGCCATGAGTTGAATTTCAGCCAAATCAGTCTGAAATATCCTAGGCTTGAGCCATAAATCAATGAGAACCCCCCTCCCCAATTTTAGGAAGGAGCCAAGAGAAACTTCTAGAAAAAAAATCAGTTACCAAATTATTTTCTAGAACCAACACTTGACAGTGGCTATTATAATCCGATCTTAGTTCTTCCTAGGTCTTCTTCTCAACTCTCCCTCCCTCTGCCTTCAGTCTATTGTGCTAAACAAACTCAGGTGGGAATAGCTGTCACTTGGAAAGCCAAAACCCAGCATCATCGCTAGCTAGCAGTTTATTATGTTCTTCTATTTGACAAATGTGTACTAGGAATAAATATTTACACATACAAATACTGCCTGGTTTCTTTGACTATTTTGCATATTTTGAGATCATATCAGATTTTTACTCGCCTATAGTATAAATTATGCTTAAAAGTTCTAAATGTGAAAAAAAAAAGTTCTAAATGTGACAATGCACTCTTTGAGCAGCGCTTAAGAGGCTGTCATCAGGACAATCATTATGTGTAGGTACCCATAATAATTAAAATTAACTTTTTTTCAAATAAATATAGGCAAAAAAAGAGTTTATCATTAGAATTGTCTGCAGAACCTTAAGTGATCTACGATACCATTCTATTGGAGGCCTGGGGGGCGGGGAGCATCTAGTGAAACCTGCCCCATGCCTAGGAAAGCTCTGGCACTATATTTCTATTGTCCCTCTTGGTCCCAACAATGGCCTGGCTTATACCTATTTTGTCAGTGCGGAAGCTGGGGCTCTAGAAGCATGAATAATCTTCATGTGGTTGTACATCTAGGTAGCATTAGGGCTGAGACTCCTTCCAAGTCCTGGCCTCCCCAGAGGATCTGGAAACCATTCAGCTTTCCAGTTGTACAGTCCATTCTGCATTTTAAAGTTTAAAGAAGCCAGCCCTTCAATCCAATCCCATAGATGGGTTGTCAGCCCCGAGTGATGGCACTGGGAAATGAGTGAGGACTCTGGTAAAAACACATGATCTGAGGGTAGAGCTGTGTGTGGAATGGCGAAATTGAGGTGTGTAATATAAATGCCACTTCCATGGCTGAAAACGGTGTCCCCACCAACAACAGAAGCTGCTTGCCTCACCGTGAAGCTGTCACTTGCTTCCATTAGATGATAATTCGTGTTGTGCCCAGCCTTTAAAGTGGGCATCCTTCATCAAAACAGGCAGGCAGGCAGGCAGATGGGTCATATTTCCATGTGACACTATACAGGTAATTAGGACTGCAGGGTTTGCTGGTGAAAGGTCTTAAACAATTAAACGGCAGGGGCTGTTTTTCTTCTGCATAGGCTGGGGATATTTGCAAAAAGGGCTGGAATGTGCTGAGTTAATTCTTAGTTCCAAACCTGGGAGTGGATAGGAGTAGAAGGAGAAAGGTGGGGAAGTTGTTTCTGTTTACAGCTTAGCTTACTTAATTTTATTAGCCAATAAGACAGGATAACTGCCCCTGCAGTGCCATTCTTCAGTATATAACCCTGAGTCTGACTTTACTGTGCCTATGGGGAGGAGCTGGCAAGAGCAGCCTCATGCAGAAGGACTTCTGCCAGCATCAGGAGAGGCGGGGACTCTGAGCCCCAATATAGTAGGAGCCATTAAGTGGGCCTCCACTTCTCTGCTTCAAATCGGGCCTGGGTTTGTTCCATGCCCCCTGAAGGGCCTCCTTTCTTAACCCTTTGCTTGCACAGGAGAGGCATGATATTGACCTCATACCTGGAGGCCACTGTCTGTGTCCTGTGGGCTGGGACTATGTGTACAGTCCCCCCAAGATACTAGCTCTTCATGTCCCTGCTCACTTACTGTGAGTTATACACCAGAATCTCCCTGTTCCTAAAGACTTGACATCCATCCCAAAGGGCCCATTTCAGGTTTAGTTAGTACATTTTGGCCCAAACGGCTGATTTCAATCACCTCTATTATCACCTCTTGCCCAATTTTCTTTGAGTATTACTGAGGTGCCAAGACTTTAATCTGACAATATGTCTTCTTTTCAATATCATTTTTTAAAGGAAGATAACTTTCCAATTAATAATCTTTAAACATCCTTTACGCAACCATAGGGCTTGATTCATTTTTTAAAAAGTCATTCCAACATTAAGATACTGTAATTGCATTACCTGAGGAACAAGAGCATTCTAAACAAGTCAGGTATGTCCAGGGACAACTTAAGGGGTAAAATTTGGAAATGGGCAACTGCTGGGGAATTCCTTGGTTCATCTACACAACCAAAACACCCTTAGGGCAGGGAGACTATGGGAGAACCTATGCCAGTCCCCAGTCTGTGCAAGGCAAGAGGAAATAAATCCACCTAAATCCTCGTAGAACATAAAACACACCATAACTAGGAAATTCCGCCCTCCCTAGTTACACAGTCATGGGTCTTTCTCCTCTCTTATGTTTTGGTCCAACAATTCCACTATCTTGATGCCTTTAAGAGGGTATAGTTATCTTTTGTCTGGCTTTTCCATTGTTCTCCTTCACTAGCGATGTTCTCAGATATAATGCTTCTGTTTCCTTCCTCTCTGTTCTTGCAGCTCCTTCTGGCCGAAATTCCATCATTAAGAACCTGCAGAGCCTGGACCCCAGCCACAGGATAAGTGACCGGGACTACATGGGCTGGATGGATTTTGGCCGGCGCAGTGCGGAGGAGTATGAATACCCCTCCTAGGGGACCTGGCCTCCGTCAGCCCGACAGGAAGCAACTTCCTGACTCCGAGGAGACAGAATAAGAAAATAATCACACTCATCACTCATTATCTCTGAAGTTTGACATTTTAAGTTTATATTTATTAAGTTCTCAATGTGAAAACTGTCTGTACGATTATCTTGTGCAACCATACACCTCAGCAGAATTGTGCAAATGGAAGACAAAAGGTTTCTTTCATCCGTGATTCCTGGTTCTAAAATGTTGCTATGCTATTAAAGTGATTTCATTCTGCCCCTCACTCCCTGTGTCTGCTGAGGTCATAGAGCTCCATTTAATCCTGAGGGGATGGCTGATATGTGGCCAGAAAGGAATGGGCAACTGGGGGTCAGGAGTGGAGCTCACTTCCTTGCTGCAGTCAAGGCAGCCAATGAAAGGGCCTTCTGTGATCAGTTCCAGGGCCCAACCCTGGCCACTCTGACCCCTGATCTCATTGGCCAACCCCAGCCACACCAGAATTTCCTTGAGGTTCTTTTGGTCTTTAAACAGGTTATAGGACGATACTAGGCAGTGCTGTTGCATGCACTCGATGGTTCTAAGGCCCTGTGGCACAAAAATGATTGTCCTTCCTTTACAGATGAGGAAACAGGCCCTGAGGGATGATGGTTACTGGCCACATGCCCCAGCTAGCAAGATTCACAGACTTGAGGGCTTAGCACTCCTAGGTTAGTAGGACTTTTGTTACTCTAGCATTTAAACTCCAGAGTGCATGGGGGACTTGTGTTAAACTGTACATTCTGATTCAGCAAGTCCGGGCTGGGGGCTGAGCAAGCTCCCAGGCAATGTCAATGCTGCTGGTCCCAGACTGTAGCTGGCTTTTAAAGAAGCACTTGTGGCTGTTTTTTCTTGAGCCCTGCCATATTTTAAAGTCAGTGGGCAGGTTGCAAGGAGTCTGGCAGTGATCCAGGGCAGAAGCCAATCCATCCATTGGTCCTCTGTAGGGATCTACAAAGGGAACTAGTTCAGGGGGGACACCCAGAGATGATCCAGCAACCACCACCCCTTAGGGCCACCTTTCTATGCCTCTTTCTGAGGCCTCCAGGAGCCCTGGATGCTCACCCAGCAGAGGCCCTAGGTAGCCCAGTGCAGTGAAAATGACAGCCCCAAAGGGAAAGTCACTGAAAACAATATTGGCACATCTACAGCTGGTCTTGGAGGGGCACTACCCTGCCTACCATCTCCCACTGCTGGCATCCACTGCCATCCTCCAGTGGCAGAGACAGGATGCTGTAAGTCCTCGAGGGAGGCCCAGGAAGACTGGGTCAGTGAGATTCCTTCCCCTGAGCTAAAGTTGAGATTCACTGTAAAACTTGGACTCCAAATAGATAGCACATTCCATTATTTCCCTACTGAGGCTACTAACTCATTCAGTCCCTACAATTTGGTCTCTAAGATTTCCTCACATAAGTATCCAATCCCCATTTAGTCCAAAATATCCAGATGCCTGTGTTTTTAGCACACCTCCCTCCTTGCAATAAACACTATTTATGGATGTATAAGAGATATTGGGTGTGAGTGGGGATGAGTGTGTGCATGCATGTGTGTGGACTGGGTTTGTGGGATGAATGAGGAACTTGGAATT